TGGAAATAATATTGTAGTCGACAAATGCTTTTTTTTTTTTTTCCCTTTTTGTCTTTTTTCGTGTCCGGCAACGGATCGCAACCCTCAGTGTCGCGCCCGTACCGGACTGGGACCGGCAATGGGATCGCAACCCTCGGTGTTGCGCCCACACCTCGCTCAGCCAGTGAGTGGGAACCGGTCTGTATGTGGGATCCGAACCCTCGGCGGGAGTGCCGCCGCGCTCCCAAGCGGCGCACTGTAGCAGTGCGCCACTGGGCCGGCCTGTAGTCAACAAATGCTTTAATGAAAACATGCCACTTGCAGTATTTGATATATGTGAAGCACTGATGTTGACTTTGAGCTGCACATTAAAAAAAGAACTTAGGTTGGCAACTAGTTGATATTTTTTTTGTCTATATTTAACATGAAATTATATTAAAATAGCTTTCCTCACCACCTATTTCATGAAAGAAATCATTGTGAAAGTTTTGATAAGTGTGCTTAGTTACCAGTGCCGAAAGACCTAGCTCCAAATCCCCATGTAGGGCAGTTACGGATCTTGAGCAAATTACTCCTCCTCTGTGAGCTCAGCTTCTTCATCTGTCAAACAGGTATAATAATACACAGCCTGTATGTATATCACACATATACACAAATGTGTTGCCAGACATGAAACATGTACTTAGTAAGTGGTGGCAGTGATGGAAAACCCACAGTATGTGCTGAGAAGTTACCAAGCTTGTTAAATGGGAAGTGAGAAGGCTGTGGACTCAGTACCAACACATTTCCAGTGCCTCCTGAAGAGCAAGACAGGGTCAGGTGAGTGTACGCAGCAAACCACTTGGTTCGACCTGATATTTATCTCTTAGTGACTCAAAATCTAGAAAGAGAATTTTAAAAAGTTCCATGAAAATGACAAATGGGGTTTTACTTTCATTTTCTTCTTATTTCTATATATAGGATATACTGTGGCTTAAAAGTCTGATTTTAAAATAGTTGTATTATTTCCTATTGCTGCTGTAAAAAAAAAATTACTGTAAATCTAGTGGCTTAAAACAGCAGAAACTTATTATCTTACAGTTCTGGAGGTCAGAAGTCTAAAAGCCTCACCGAGATAAAGTCAAGGGTTGGTTCCTTCTGGAGGCTTCAGGAGAGGGTGCATTTCCTTACTTTAGTCAGCTTCTAGAAGCTGCCTGCATTCCTTGGCTTGTGGCCTCCCCCTCCTGTCACTCTAACCTCTGCTTCCATCGCTACTTTTCTTACTGCTGATTCTCATCCTCCTGCCTCCCTCTCTTAAGGGCTTTAGTGATTACATTGGGCTGGCCTGGATAATCCAGCAGGATTGCCTCGTCTCAAGGTTCTTAATCACATCTACAAAGTCCCTTTTACCCCATAAGGTAACATACAGGTTCTGGGGATTATGACATGGACATTTTGGGGGGGCCATTATTCAGCCTACCATAAAAGCCACTGTTTTTGACTGAGCCCTCTCTGTGGCCAGGTTCTGAGCCAGGGGAAGGAAAGATAGTCACAGCAGGTTTCTGTGCTGAGGAGCTCATAGTCCCACACCCAGGAAGGAATTTATAGTTCTCTGTGGCACTCAGATCATTTATACCATTTTAAAATTATGAAATAACAACATCACTGTAACATTTCATGTGATAGGAAATGTTATATAAAAGCCCTAGTGCTATGGAATGAAATGTGTTCCCCCTAAATTCTCATGTTGAAGCCATAACTCCCAGTACCTCAAGAGTGTGACTGTATTTGGAGACAGGGCCTTTAAGGGGGTAATTAAGATTAAATGAGGTCGTGAAGGTGGACCCTAATCCAATCTGACTGGTGTCCTTATAAGAGGAGAAAGAGACACTAGGAGTGTGCACACACAGAAAAAAAGCCATATGAGTACTCAGAGGGCATCCCTCTACAAGCCAAGGAGAGAGGCTTCAAGAGAAGCCAACCCCGCTGACACCTTGATTTTGGACTTCCAGCCTTCAAAACTGTGAGAAATAAATTTCTGTTGTTTAAGCCACTGGGTCTATGGTGTTTTGTTATGGCAGCTCTTGCAAACCTGTACATGATGCCCTTACTATGTTTATTTTGTATTTTGCTTTCCAGTCTTTTGTCTGCATACATTCATTCCCATTTATGTTGACAGTTAAACACGTAATGTTCATGCCCTTTTAATCTCTGATTCTCAAACTGAGCCCTGCTGCAGCTTGGGAGGAGATATAGTCAGGTCTCCCTGGGATGCTATGCAGTCCTCACCTTACCAGCCTCACCATGCTGGCAGAGAAAAGCCAGAATGGATGTAAATCGAAGCACTATTGCATTCGTTTAAGAAGAGGTAATGTTTGTCTGTTACTTAACTGTTTACTCGAATGTTTGTTTCTTTGTCTCACTGTATGGTTCAGCCAAGTGCCTAGCACAGCGCCTGGCAGTCACATTTACTGAGTGAACGAGTAGCCCGTTCTCTTCCTGAATGCAAATTTGCTTGGGCAACAAAATCGTAAACAGAAGATGGCATAGAGAGCATGAAATTGGCAAGGTTGGCATCATGAAGTTGGGTGATAAGAGCTCTCCTCAATTTCCTAACAGTGTGCTGATTTAAAAAAAAATGTAATGAACACACTAATACATCTGGAGGTAATTTTCATGTATTGTGCTTTGTTTGGTTTTAGTTCATCATTTTAACAATTTTAATCAAATTATCGTAATACTATTCATTTAATGTTTTCCTGTTCTGTAATTTTGAAAAGTTGCTTTTATCATATAAATAGTTGGGTCTATTTCTGGGCTCTTGACAGTATTCCATTTTCTAAATTCATTTTTATACTTTTATCATTCTGTTTTGATTAATATTGCTTTGTGGTACATTCCAATATCTGACTAGGTCATATTGATTTTCTCTATTGAGTTTCTGTTTCATAATATATTTACTCATTACCTATTTGTTTTTACAAAGTAATTTTAGAATTATTATGTTATTTAAAATCTCTTGTTGAATATTTGTATTAAAATCTGTAAACAAAATGTCCAAATTATGGTTTTTCAGCCAGGTTAAAATAAAATGAATGTCTAACCTTGACCTTTGCATGAGCAATAGAGATGATGGTACTTGGAAAAGTAGTAGAACATAAGCAAGCTTTATAGGAAACCAAGAAAATGAACAAGCAAATATATGTCATGTATATACATTAAGACATAGCTCAGCATTCCAAGTAAGCTGGACGATTAAACCCTATTACAAATTTTCACTGTCTTCAATTTTGAGTGAAAAGGACACAATCAGAATAAAGAACAGAGTAAATGATTGCTTAGTGCTACAGTGATAATTGATCTTACATCATCAGTTTCTGTTTATACACCTTAAATCAGTTTAGGAAGAATGCAGCATCGCCTAGTGTTTAAAAATGCAGACTCAAAAGCCACATTGCCTGGGTTTGAGTCAGCTCCTCTACTTATTTGCTGAACATCAGCTTACTTAAAATGGGATAATAATAATACTGCCTGTTGTATAGGGTTATTAGGAGAATAAACTGATATATATATATATGTGTATATAAAGGACTTCGATAGTACCTGGCCAAAAAATGGTAATATTGTTGTGGAGATTTTGTGCTACTGAGACACTTTTTGGTCTGGGAGAGGTCGCCTATAGTTCCTCTTTTTTTCCCCCAAATCTGAGTGTCTACCCTTGCAGGTTTGTATGGGCAACATGACCCAGTAAGGCCTGGCCCACACCATTATCAAGGGAATGCTTTTGAGCTTTCGTACCTGACTTTTTGTTGTTGCACTCTGGCAGCTATCCCCTGGCTTCCTTGCAAAAAGGCTGGATTTCATTAAAACTCAATCTCTCCTGATACCATCTCTGCTGGATATTAGAAGGGACTGCTACCAATGGCGCTTTAGCAACATGATTAAGAATGGATTTGGGCTGGAGTATCCTAAGTGCTCTACAGTTGCCATTTATGAAGTTTCTCACCTGGTCTACCTACTTCCTTGTACTCTCTCAACTCCCTGTCCCTCTCCAGCCCATCTCACTAGCACAGGAACTCAGCCAAGCTTCCTGTGGTTTTCTTGAGTTAGACACTGAGATGAATATTTCTTCATATTTCAGGTGCAAGTTCTCTTCTGTCGTCCTGAGTCCCCACTGTCAGGCCCCCTGTATGAGTGACACTTCGGTCTGCCATGGAACCTGGCCCTGCTCTGGCCTGGCTCCTGCTCCTGAGCCTGCTGGCCGATTGTCTGAAAGCCACTCAGTCCCGAGACTTCACAGTGAAAGATATTATCTACCTCCATCCTTCAAGTAAGACTCTGTTCTCTTCACTGCAGAAATGTCACTTTATCTCATATCAGAAGTGGGTTGAAAAATGGCCAGGAGAAGGCAGCACTCAACACAGGGGAAACCTCTGGTGATTTAATTGGGGGTGCACTAGTTAACAGAAGATGCTTTACGCTTTACCCTCACCTTTTCACAGGATGTCTGTTTTTTATTTTAAGGCAAATTATTAGGCTTGTTTCCTCTGTTTCCTTCACACGTACTGATTCTGAATACTGTCCCCTTTTACTCGTGCCAGCCCTCAGTCAGTTATCTAAGTGAACCGCCATATCCCAGGAGGAGGATTGTTTGTAAAAGATCAATCCTTTCTAGGTAAGATAATAGCTGGTCTTCCTCTCTGTGCATCTGATTTTCAGTTTCAGCATAATTATCTCCCACAACTTCCGATTCCCTGTGCCTTTTGGTTTCCTGTGTTTAGGAATTATCTAGGGAGTGTACAATAACGTAGATGTCTAGATCCCTGCCCTAGAGATTCTGATTTGCACATATCTCCATCTGTACCTGTGGATTTCTGTTCTCAGCAAGAATTTCAGGTCCTACTGCTGCAGATTTCTAAGGATCACACTTTGGGAAACAGCAGTTTAACTTTTTCTATTGATCTCCATCTCTGGATGTATCTTGTCTCTCTTATTTTTGTATGAATCCTCTTCTGTATTGTCCCTGACGTGGTGAGGGCTGGTTGTATTATGTATGTTCTGACCTTTAGGATTTGCCTCAAGGTACATTACTCTTTTAAAATGTTCTGCTCAGCAAATACTGTTTGAGTCAAGCTTTGTGGTAGGTATAAAGGCAAATAAAACGCAGTCCTTGCTTTTGAGGATCTTATGAGCTACGAAGTGGAGGTAGCCACTCTGGCCCCTTCGATCCTGCACGGTTAGTATATTTAATGTCCACGTGTTCTGGTTTAACCGAGAGGTGGTACCTGGAGTACACAGGGGTGAGAAGTCCACCTGACCTTGGCTCAGCAACTAGCTCAGCTGCTTCATAGCCTTTTGACTTGAAATAAATTTCCTAACTTTGTGAAGATTACATAAAACAATGCCTGTGAAGCACTCAGCACTGAGTGTGAGCTGTAGCAAATGCTCAGTCAGAGTTAGGGGAGTTTTTTAAAGCGCTATTTTCCGCATTTCTTTTTTTATTTTTTTTGGTGGCTGGCTGTTATAGGCATCAAACCCTGGACCTTGGTGGTATAATTTCTGCATTTCTAAAGTAGTAATATAATAGCATTATTTTATGGAGGAGAAATAATATCCATAAAGTACCAGGCCCATACCTAACAGGCAATCAAATGGTTGGTGTTTATGTTGTTCCTGTCATTGGCTTAGATACTAAACTGATGGTGCTAAAAATACACCATCCTTAATTTGTATAGCTCCAAATATACTTTTGATAGGCAGCAAATAATTTCTTTAGACTTATTGCCACTATACCCTCTCTTCAGTATTATCTGATGCCTACTGGCTAATTATATGACAAACTTAATCTGGCTGCTTGTTTTTGTAGAACTTCTTACTTGTAGACTTGTGCTGTTTCCTAGATTGCATTTTGTTCTTTTCTCCAAACAAGCATGCTTTATTATTATTATTATTATTATTAGACTTACTGAAGGAAAAACCTAAATGTCAGTCTCTTTGGGTTGATTGCTGTGGTTTTCAGCTTCTGTGGGTTTTTTTGTCAGCCTCTGTGACAAACTCTACAGTAATAACTGGGCCACAGAACAGTCCCACAGCAGACTTTCTCTGAGGGTGATTGTTCATACAGGGTGGAAAAGCAGAATTAGAGTGATAGGACTTCAGTGTACAAATAGGCACCATGTCAGCATCAGAGGTGTGGTGGGTCAATGCCTGAACTGAATAGGCTGCTATTTGGAGAGTCTTTGAAGGATGAGCTCTGCCAGGCCAGAGGGGAGGCACTTCTGCTTTTTTGAATTTGATGGAAAAGTTCTGCTTGTGTGACCTATATTAATTAAATACAGCCATGGACCGATTAGAAGGATCTCACCATATGTAAAGGATTGGTGGGATTTTCTGATATGATTTTGAAATACAGATGAAAGGTAGAAGATATTCCTGGATTATAAGTAGATGATTCACTAGCAGGTCTGGGCTGAGTTCTCTATAGAGTCTCCATAATGATGATGGAAAGCATAAATTCTTGTTGGATTGAAGCTTTCATGAATGGCTCCTACCTGAACAGAACTTTATTTATTCTGCCTACTTTAAATCGGAGTGAACTTCACATATCTCTGAACTATTTCAGAATTTAAGGTGTGTGTGTGTGTTTACACTTTGATTTTTAAGTGGAGTTGGCCCTCCACCCTTGAGCACTAGACCATGCTTGATGGAGTGATATCTCTACAAATAAGCAGGTTTCTGTTGAAAATAGACTATAAAAAATGTATGAGGGAAGTGTGGGATTAGTTTGACTTTGGATTATTTATGTAATCACCTCACTTTGTAGATGGAGTCACAAACAGCTTTCTGTGGGTCAGCAAATGAGCCAGATCCCATTAATGTTACACATGGCAGCTCAGAACCTGCCCAAAGTGAAATGTGGTAATGCCTCAGGTGTGAGAAGACACACGTGTTTTCTATACCAGACAAACATAAACTCATTTCTCATGGTCCAGGGACAACCATCATTGATAGTAACTAGGGTGAGATTGGAACCCAGGCTGGGAAAATTCAGTCTCTCATGACTAATCTCCTTTGCTGTCTGGTTCTCTTATCTTTGAAGTTTCTAAGCCTTTAAAAGAAATACACTTTATAGTTTTCAATTTAGGCACCATTCTCAGTAACATTCTTTCCTATAATTTGTATGTCGGGGTTTTTTTTCTTTTTTCATGTGAAAAATGATGAATTTCTTTCCAGCCTTGATTAAAATACCAAAGTCTGATAAAAACCTTTACAACATGAGTTAATATTAAGAGAAATGGAGCTACTTATTTGGTTGTCAGACTTCACACAAGATAGCAGAATTTAATGTACTAAGTAGCTGAAGACTATTCTTGGCCTCTGTTTCTTTCCTTAGAATAATATCCAATTTTCCTCTGGTTGTATGGTTTGAGTCTTAATCATGTACATGAAGAACTGTATCCCTGCAGGGGCTTGTTTATGTCCAGGTAGAGAGCCAACAAAGTTTATTCACAATCCTATACTCCTTAAGTCTTAGAGAGTAAAAGGACTTCTGGAAAGGTACCAGGAAATGCACTTCTATCAGAAACATACTCATATTAAAATTATACTGAAAATATTTTGTTGCCAAGTGGACTGAGAAGGAAGATGAATTTATTAGATTTTTAGAATGTTTGTTTGCATCCAGTTTCCGAAAACAATGGAAATTAATTTGGTAAGAATAGAAAAAAGTTTGGATGCATTATATATTAGCATACATTTCAAAACAAGTCTGTTCTTACCACGTTTTTTGGTAACTGAAGGGCTTTGTCCAGGCAAAAGTTCCAAGAGATGGAAACAAAGACTAAATCTTTTCCGATACCTTACAGATGAATTATCATTGGTTGAACTGTGGCTGACCATGAGAGTTAATGGACAGATTATTTTACAGGAAGTAACTGGGCACTTTGGTGTATCTTTTTTTCTTTACAATCACCTTCTCTTGAGGGACCAAGAACTTATGCCCTGAAATACAGAGTACTAAGCTTATTAACTCTGTGATCAAGAGCCAAATTAGATTCATTCACAGCTGGGGCCACAACAGTTTGAAACTGCTTTCTCTATAATGCTTTGAAGTAACAAAGAAGAAAATAGCACATCTCTTAGGAACCTCTTTCAGTCCTAAAAAAAAAAAAAAAAAAAAAAAAAGCCCAAAAAACCTCTTTATCAGATGCAGTATCAGTTAGCAAGTTACTGGAGACAAGTTGTCCATCTGTAGACCTTATTTCTGGCTAAATATTTTCACAGGGAAGAATTTAACCATTTATTTGGTACTATACTGTAATTAGCCATGTAAAGCTGAGTATGTTTGCAGAGATTTGTTACTAAACCGGGTGTAATTATTCACTGATCATTACTACCTGCCAAGACATTACTAAAAGTTTCTAAAAGCAAATATCGAACTGTAGTCATTGAGAACGTATACCGACATGGAGCTGTAGATTTAAAAATAAAACTCACCCAAACTGAGATCATTTGGTTAACTGCCAATGATGCATGCCAATACACTCATTCAGAGATAAATGATTTGAAGTAAAGCTTCATTTTGCTGCCATAGTATTTTAGCTCATACTTCTGTTTAAATTTTGATGTACTCTACTTTGCATTAATTCTAGAGTTCAGGCCTACTTATGTAGAAATGACAGTATTTAATTTAATATGTCACTAGTCTTGTGAAAGATCATTTTGAAAATTCTATTAAGTAATCCAAATTTGGGAACACTACAACTTACTAGTGTTAGTTTCTCAAGTTTGTTCTTGGAGCAGCTGGATCATCAATCTTCATTCAAAGTTCTTAATTTATCTCTTTGATGGGAAAGTTTCCAGGAATAACTAATTCAACATGCCAACTGAAAATTTTACTGGCTGCGGTGACAGACAAATAAAATTGGATGTTGTAGTGAATTAATCATGCAAACTGAAGTGCTACGGCTAGCTTGCAGTCATAAACCTTGGTGAATATGATGATTATTTTTTGAGAAATGCTGTTCTTTGACAAATGCTTTATATCTTTTTTTTTAAAAAACTCCCACTTTGATGGTTCCATTCAAATTTACAAGCTACTTTAAAGTTGTATCTTTTGGAGTTATCTCTATATTAAGTATTCTAAACTTCATAGTGAAACTATTTCTTGAAGTATCCAATTAGGACAATTCCCTAATATAAATATTTTATATGGTTTTTGTCATAATGGTATTTATAAAAATAAACTAATTAAAATGTCTGCAAGAAAACTGAATGCCTTTAGAATTTGAGAACCTCGTTTTTTTTTTTTTCCTTTAATTCTTCAGGCAC